AGCTGGGCCCCGAAAGGGTTCTACAGCTGAACGATTTTTAAAAAAAATTTTATGACGCAACAGACTTTTGTGTGTGATGACGACATTCAGAACACGACACTGTTTGTCAGCCTGCGACCATAACAACATGACGACGGTAGGTGGAGAACGATGCAATGGTTACCTGGTAGTCCGAAAGTAAAATCGATATCTGAGCTCCGGCATTATTGCAGTAAAGATATATGTGTTCTATGGGCAATGGCCATAAAACTTGAAAACGTAATCTGAAAGCCGGAAACTATTGTTATGCCATAAGTCGAATGCCGGAATCATCAGAATTCCATACAGAAACCCAAATGACGTGAGCGACACAGCACAGGTGACAAACAACGGATATGTTACATGCATTCCCAGACCAACATCGTACAGGTCTCACTCAATAACAGTCGCAAACGGAAAAAAGTAAATCGAACAGGTGTGTGTACCTTCAATTCCCGAATAATCTGGGCTCGAACTTTGGGTTTTATTTCCAAGTGGATGTTCTTCTTGGCTACGATCAGTCCGGTTTTGATGTGGCGAACCTGACTGACCACACCCCCGTTACCTTTACCGAGTTCACGAATCTTCTCGAAATCCTCCGGTCGCAGTTCGCCGATTTTTTGTTTCTCGGCGACGAACGCGCTCAGTTGACGGCGTTGTAAATCGTCCAAATCTTGTGCCTCCAACTGGCGTAACCTGTTGCGGAAATCGTGGGCAAAAGTGAACGGAACAACATTAGTCCCTAAACCGACTAACTACTAATTAGATACCTTGTTAGTCCGCCTTCAGGAAGGAAGGAAATATCTCGTGTGTGCTTATTTATGTGCATTCAGGATGAGCCAAATGAGCTCCCCGTTCAAGTTAGCAGTGTGTTTAAATTGGTTGCAAAGGCTAGTTTGGTTGGTTCGATTTTCAGCATGGGTTAATCCCACAGTCTGGGATGGAACTTGACACGAAAGCTCGAAGTATGTCCGCTGCCTACAGACGGACAAACATATTGAGAAACAACATGCCATTTACACTGGCCTTCTGAGTTCTCAGCTTAAGTCAAAGGGTTGAAATATCATTCCGGAGTCCAGCTCTCAAGTGAAGTGATCTGCACCTGTACTGAAACATAAGTGCCAAATGCAATTAATCACACTATGAGCATCCTCTCCACAGTTTTCCAAGTCAAGTCAGGTGAACAAGAACTACGACACCCCATGATGCAAAGCAACCCGCTCCCCCGAATAGACTTGGAGGAAGGGCATCTTTGGCTTTCTTTGAGACAATGCTTGTAGGATGGGTGCTCTACCGAGACAAAGCCTTGTGTCCTAAACTCAGCAGCGGATTCGCCACATCTCTACCTCATGGAACAGTAGTTCATATCTGTTAGTGCTATTAGTGAGTAGGAGATAGGCTATTGGAATCTGGATCTGGGGGATGATGATGATGGTTCAGCTGTGATGCCCTTTCGGTGCCTAGGTGACATGCCATCCGAAAGAAGCTCGATCGCCTGGATACTGCCAGGTCGTCCAAGCCTAGACAGCAGCAGTCGGGATGTAGAGGTCGGGTACGAACCGCAGACGTTCGGGTCAGTAAGTTCGTGCCTTAAACATTGGGCCACCTGGAGCTCATTCCCATGAGTGTTTTTTGTCCATGCTACTGATTTTTGAGTATTTTGACGACATCAACGTCCTGTCTGCACACAAATTGTTCACTAATGGTCCCGACGGATATCAGCTGTTGTCTCATTAGGCAGAAGCTTGACGAATCAGATATAAGGTCAAGGGACATAAACTTTGCGGACAGCGAGTGTCCTTGGTAGCTCGGTCAATAGGAGGCACATCCAGTAAGCAGGAATTCGGCAGTTCAACTGCATCCCCAGGAGTTACATTTTGTACAGCATGTGGGCATCGCATTTCGAAAATTTGATCATAGTAGTGGCTGCCAGTTGCAAAAGGCTGTACCATGACAAAGAGACTGCAATCACAGCAATTTTCATCACAGTACACTCATAACCAAGAGATCACTAGTATTCCGGGGGAAATGGATAAACTTGTAGAAAAGTGATAGCACTGTGTACAAGACATGCTAGGCTTACGGAGAGAAACAAGGCCATTATTTTATCGCAAATACCGGAAGAAAAAATCATCACTTACACCTCCGCCACATCTACGGGTCCCGTACTAATTCGGTTCGAATAGCGATTAGCGGCTTGGAAGCGGCCACCAGTGGCCGACTGGCTGGAAACCGGACTGGGAGACACCACTTTGACATGATGTTGTGTAGCGATCCTGGAAGGGCCTGAAGGGGAGGTAGAGTTCTGATTGATTCGGTTGCGCATTATAGGTGGAGCGACTACAGCAGTGCTCGAAGAGTCGCTTGAATGAGAAGCTGGATGGTTCCGATTGGAATTTTGTACTCCGGCTTGGGAAGGCTGTGAGGGAGGAGACTTCGGTATCATATCGGACACAGTAGCGGCAGCAGCAGCAGCAGCAGTAGCCGACGACGACGCCTCACCTTCATCCGGCAGTCTGGTGGTCGGAAGGGTCAAATTAAGAACATTGCGTTTCGACCGCCCACTAGCAGACTTTGACATGGCCGTTCAGCAGTAAATAAAACGGGAAAATCGTAGATGCTGAAAGGAAAAGAGACCATATCAAAGAGACGCATATCAAAGAATGAGGGGACAATGGGCCCGGAATTTCGCATTTTTTACCAACAAAACAGAACTCACTGTGTCGATGTGAATTTCCTGCATAAAGGACTTCATGTCCAATAGAAGCGCGGAAGCCAAAGACGATTTCGTAGTGTAAATTACATCGAAGGAGTCTGAACCCCAAAACCTGTGGATATGGGGGCGAGATGGCCGAAGTGGTTAGAGCGCGGATTACTAACCTGAAGGTCCGCGGTTCGAATCCGACCTCCGCCACTCGACTTCCCCTGTCTAGGCTTGGGCAACCTGGCAGTATCCCAGCCCTCGTGCTTCCTTCGGGTGGCATGGCAGCTAGGCACCGGAAGGGTGCTACAGCTGAACGCGAGCGGAGATAATCCTGCTCGATGACTCCACACGGTATCAAACCCGGTATTCATCACCATCACCACCGATAGCAACACTAGACAGGAACACTGCCGTAATCCAGTCTACTTGGCCACAGTGGCCATTGTGTCAACAGAAGTGAACAACCAGATGTGGATTGGGTGAACTATCGGCGGTCAATTCAGGTACATTCCATTCCATCTGGATTATGGCTCCACCAAATCTATAACCTTCACTGCGCAGCTTTCAAGCCGTCATTCCGGACAAACAGAACCATTAAACGTCAAGGAGCTGACTGAACTAGCACATACAACTCGTGACTCTTGTCCACTTATTCTCCATATCCTCGGTGAATGAAGCTGTAGTAGCTGGAACCAACGCAGTTCGGTTTTAAGGGCTAAAAACTAAACTTAAGCCTTGACTGTTGCTTACGACGGACGCTGTGCATCAAAACAGATGGAATCTAGTGTATGAGTAAGAGCAGTCCGTGATCCTGCTCTCTTCAAGGTACAGATGGTTAACGAAGCTAAGCAGACTGCCTTTCATGGTTTTAAACTTAACCTCGTGTTTGGGACTCTTACTAAATAATGACACGCAGAATTTGCCGCTAAGGGTGGTGCAAAGTTAACGGTGCTGTCAATCCCTGCACTGGGACGTGCGGAAAGAGCATTCATAATCGGGTGGGGTAGAAGTCAAGGAATACATAGAAGAGATGTATTTGTCTTACCGTGCTTTTGCTCACCCTCACTGCTGTATGCACAATCACAGTAAAAATAAGTCCTTTAGCTTTAACACCACTTTGGTGCCTAGCTGTCATGCCACTAGAAGGGAGCACGAGGGCTGAGATACTTCCAGGTTGTCCGAGCCTAGATAGGAACAGTCAAGATACCGGGGCTGGGCTCGGACCACGGTTCATCCCATCAGTAAGTTCATCTCCACTGTATGTAGCAATCAGTGACCCGGATGATTGAACCATGCGACGAAAGATGTGGTACGACTGCATTTTCAGCGGTGAGTTTTGCCATCGAGGGAAATGTTGGAATCAAAGGTTGTACAGATGGTCCTTAGTTTGTCCACTGGGCTGCGCAATCTGGTTACAAACTCCTCACCGTCAACCCAGATGACATCATCAGTGCGCAGTGAGTGTACGGGTTTCCACACCGACGCACTACGACGCGTCACCAACTCGCAACCCTGGTTGATGGCGAGGCGTTAGTGACCAAATTACCCAAGCCGCCGAAAGGGACGACCAGTGGTGAGGTCCGTGGTTGTACTCAGGGTGAGATACTGTCAGGATGCCAACATATAGACAGAAGAGAGCCTGGAGTCTCCAACCGAAGCGTTTGACTCAAAATCCTAACCACAACAGAGCAGCTGGGCGAGCGACATACTATTACAGTTGTGCAAATTTTGAGGAACAAGGAAGCTCGAAACAACGCATTGCATAAGATGCATCAGCTAGTAACTCATCATCATTGTCAGCTGTAAGAACC